CCAAGATGATTTCTTAACATAATTCTAGCATGCGTGTGGTTTATTTATTTTATTTTTTTATAAAAGATATTACCTCGCTCTACCACGTTGGGGCACGAACATGGACTTCCATGCATGCAGCAGTTTGTTCAGAATATCCTAGGCTACGCAGCTCTAAATAGTTTTGTTTTATGAAATACCACAAGAGCTAAGACATACGCGCTTAATCTGTGAACTCATGAATGAAGTTCTCTAATTACGGGATATGAATGGGCACGGGCCATCAATGAACTGAACCTTGGCCGGAAGTGCGGCCTGAGAAGCAATGCCACAGGAAACCTATCCGACAAGAGGTGGTCTCATTTTGGGTCCACCCAGTCGCACTGTACGTATATGAGCACATGTTCTCATCGTGACAATTTTCTGCGCCTTTACCTTCGCGCCACATCTATGAGTACTCGTATCTTGACATGTGAGGGGTCAGTGCGTGTTGCGCATGCAAGGAATTTAGTGTCCGTATGAACGGAAGCTATTATGATAACCAATAACGCCCATCGGAGCATGGACGATCAATCATTCAAACAGGAGCCGAGCTTAAAACTGTTATACTAACTAATAAATACACCAGTGCAGCTTCATTCATTATATTCCTGTCTGGTACTGGTTGATCATTGCTGCCACTGTATGAGAAGTAGCTTTACCAAATTTGTATCGTAGCAGCAGCGTCTAGCATAGCCTTCATCAAAACCATTTGATTTTATTATTGAATACGATCATTAAATGATACATGCGAGGCCCACACCTCACTCCCTCCCGTATAAATTATAAACACAACTCCAGATGTGAGCGCAAGATGTAAGCCAGGATGATTTTACCAGCAGTGTATCATAATTTACATGTATTATGATAAGCGCCGGATTAACTATTCACTTTAGCAATGAAGAAGGAAGGAAAAGGGGAGAAGATCGAGAAGTGAAACAGAGGCTGGTATGCGGAGCTGCCACGGCGCTGTCGAGAGAGAGCGAGATAGATAGATAGATAGATAGATAGATAGATAGAGAGAGAGAGAGAGAGAGAGAGAGAGAGAGAGAGAGAGAGAGAGAGAGAGAGAGAGAGAGAGAGAGAGAGAGAGAGACGAGAGACGAGAGAGAGAGACGAGAGACGTAGAGTACGAGAGAGTAGACGAGAGAGACGAGAGAGAGAGACGAGAGACGAGAG